ACACTGATTTTTTTTAAGGTACTTCAGTGTCTATAACTTTTTATCTTTTTGAGCATTATCAACTCTGGATGATGGATGGTAAAGCCCAAAAGGTCTTCTTTCCAAAGACACCAACATTTTGTGTGTAGCACACTGAAGACAGGAACTGTTACAATTTCAATTTAGGTAGGTCATTTTCAGCTGTGAGGCCCAAAATGGGGGGTGCAGGTTAACAGGTTAAACATTTTAGAAAAACACAAAAAATAATAGTTCACTTCAAACCAATGAGAATGAAGTTGTCACCAGAAAATCATTTCCCATTCTACCTTTTAGGCCTGGTCCACACGAATACATTTCCATTTGAAAACGCTTTTTTCTCTCTCTGTTTTGGCCTTCCATCCACACGGAGATGGCATTTTTGTGATTCATCATGGCAGCACGCAGTCACTGAGAAAGCTGTATTCACTATACTAACTGTACAAACTGTAGCAATACTGTGGATTATTATTACATAACGACAACTAAGGATGGGTACCGAAACCCAGTATTTAATCGTCCCGGGGCTAAATTATGAAAGACCGGAGTATCGATAAGCTCTGACATTAACGGTTCTGCTATCGGTACTGGAGAAATTAAGAAAACACATACATTTATTATTGCTATCTATACATTATCTTCCGAATTACATCTTACCAGAGTCGCCAGCTGTTTATATATGCAATAATATTCAAACATTTGTCTATGATGCATTATTGCTATTAGCAATTCAGAAGAGATCGCGCTCAAGCGGAGGAGCTTCAGCACGCGCAACATGAAAGCCCTGTATAATTATGACAGAAGAGAGAACTGAACATTCAAACATCTGCTTACACTGTTTTATTAAGCTAATTTTATTTTTTTATTTTGATTTTGGCTTCAAGGGATTATAGCCGCATTTATTTTATCGCAACTTCTTTCCCTTTACAGCGGTGCACGTTCGTTCCTCCCTAAAACCCAAACTTAAAGTCAGAATCAGCACAATCGGTGATTGTTGTAAAATGCCGTCTTATACTGCCATATTGAACCATATTGAAAAACTAGAACAATCCAACAACTTGCTTCAAACTAGTCAAAACACTCAGCGAAAAGATGGATGCGGTCATAAAAGAAAACAAAATAATGAAAGAAACCATCCTGATATTAAACCAGAAGTATGCGTGATAATCTGATTTTCTCTGGTATCCCCGAACACCCATCCGACGATCCCGAAGTGATGATCAGAGATAGGGATGTAACGATTACTGGTTTGACGATAAATCATGATAAAATTCCCCACGGGTAGTATTACCGTTTCATATTTTAAATATAGCTGCAAGCAGCAATTACGGGGCCAAGCACTCCAAAGGCAAAATGAGGAGCCAAGCATGGCATGGAGCATCAGTCCAAATGCAACTGAATAATAAAAGCATTTTTTTGGATGATTGTAATTGAAATGGCTGAAAAATCATAAAAACAACCTCCTGTAATGTGATTAAATGGCTTATCACTTTTGACCAACAGGTGGCGCTGTAATCAAATAATTTTGGTGTGTTCTGTGTGAGGTGACAATGGCCAAAGACTATAGAATACACAAGACGTGTCACTCCTATAGTTTTGAATGGGGAAAAATGCAACGCTCAATATGGCCGCTCAATCGCAGGAAGCCCCGCCTTCTGAATGAAAGAGCCAATCGCTAATCTGTAAAGTCAGCGCATCACTGCAGCTGCCGTTAGAAGTCCCGGTTGCTATAGAAACAGTCAGCGTTCTGAGACGAGTGCTTAGGACTACACATGTGCACTGGCTGATCTTAGCCTGAAAAATACGCTTTTTATATCGCTATTTGAGCTAAATAAACACCATTTATGACAGAGTTGTGAGATTTCTTTGGTGATTTCAAATATGAAATTTAATCGTAAGCTTAGTGAACAGTTTTGGAGAATTTGATGTTTCCTCATTCAAAGAGATAGGAGTTGCACTTGCATGCCCGAGAGGCGTTTCAAAGATGGCCGCCGAGTGACATGACTTGTCTTAAAGAGACTGTGCAATGGCACACACAAAGTTTGTTATCATTTCAAAGCTTTGCAGAGATATAGCCTTAGAGTCACTTTGGCACCATGCCTAAAATTTGTAGTGGCACTGTACGAAAACGGTTTTGTCTATCGACAAAATCCATAACTTTTTGTCAGCACAGTCTGAAGATGATATGACTCGATTTTGGTGAAAATCGGACCAACGGTCGAGGAGGATTTTCAGTAGGTTTTCAACAAATCAAAATGGCAGACAGGAAGATCGGCTTACTATGGCATAATTGGTATGCGTGTTGTCGGCATGACCCAAGGAATATTTTGAGACCAGTTTCGTTACAATAGGCTAATGCAATCAAAAGTTATTAGCATTTTTAAAAATTTCATTATGAATGGTTAGTGAATGGTTTATCACTCTTGACCAATAGGTGGCGCTGTTACCAAATTGATGTGGCGTGGCCAGTTTGAGGTGAAAATGGCACATACAAAGTTTGGTGTAAATATGTCAAAGCTTTGCAGAGATACAGCCTCAGATGCAGTTTGGCACTTTCCAGCAAATTCGTTGATGTGTTAAAACGAAAACGGTTTCGTGTATCGTCACAAAATCAATTACTTTTGCCAGCTTGGTCTGAAGATGATCCTAGTCAAATTTGGTGAAAATCGGACCAAGGGTGTAGGAGGAGATCAAAAAAGTAGGTTTTCAACTTAAATCAAAATGGCGGACAGGAAGTTCATCCAATTATGGTATAACTGGTATCTATGTTCTTACCAGGACAGAGTCTCTGGATTGATGTACTCCTCGTCTCCCTCCGTTCCTTGCTCTGCACACAATGTTTGTTTATTTATTTAAAGAGCACTTTTCAGGCTACACAGTAGCTCCAAAGTGCTGTACATCACAAGTTAAGATAATGTAAAAAGAAGGACATAATTAAAACAAGACGACAACAACAACAACAACATCAATGATAAATAAACCTCATTTTAACATATTAATAGCCACAGAAATGTAGTTCAGGGAACATTATACCAAACAGTATTGCCTCTTTTCATTTTCATTTTAACATATCAATAGATTAATAGAATAAAGGCCAAAGATTACCCGTTAGATTTACCCAAAACGAATTATATCTCATGTTTAACTACTACGCCAATCAATGTCTACTTGCGTCGCGATTAGTACCAGTTGTGCTGGTTAGACCCTGCTCCGGAGTAGGAGCTAATTTGGTTCTCGAAAAAGGCAGTCCGGCACTAAAAATCGCACCCAGTTCCGGCGGTGCGAAAACGCCAAAAAGTGAGTAGTTCCACAATTAGTTCTGGTACTATGAAAAGGTTCCCGCGGTGCGAAAGGCCCTAGAGCTGCATTACGGAGTGTCGTAGGCTATGGTTATTTTATCCCTTAATGCTTTAACATACAACTTTGATATAATTATCAACTGGCTGAGAGCTATATTGGTTCTGTGTGTGGTACGATAGAAGATGGCCGTAATGATTTCTATGAGTGTCAGGGTTGCCAGGTTTTCGCAACAAAACCCGCCCAACTGCTATTCAAAACTAGCCCAATCGCATTTCAAAGATGTTCCCCCGACAAAAATCGCATTAAGGGTGGTAAAATACACGTTTTTCGGCAGGGATCCTCCGGTAAAATTCGCATTCCAGGGTCTAAATATCACATTATTGGGGTCGCTTCAACCCACGGCAACTGTTAAAGTAGCCCAATTCCGCGGGAAAACCGCGGACTTGGCAACACTGGTGAGTGTGTATGTGATCGTGCTCTGGCCACATGACTGAGCGCTCGAATTAACCTGTTTTTATACAGTCTATGGAATGAACGCAAGGGATTCATATATTTTGTTCTAAAAGCAAAAAAAAAAAAAAAGATATTTCGGTAAAAGAAATTCTTACCAGAAGAATTGCATGAAAAATATCATGTCTGTTCCGTCTGTATCGTCTCAGTGAACTTTTATGAGGTTTCATGCATGCGCAGTGAAGCAAATTTAACGTTTTCTGACGTTTCAGTGTGGATGAGAAACTTTTGTAAAATGCTTGAAAGCGCTAATATGGTTAGAGAAATTTTTAAACAAAAACGCCATTTTCATGTGTATCTGGATTAATTTTGATATAGCCTTAGTGTCCACTGGCTGTTTTATTTGCTCACCAAATACCTTTTAAGTAACAAATGTAGACAGCATGCAGTAGCCAAATGTAATCACTTTTAATTCAAGGTATGCTTTGTGCAAAATAATTGATTTTCTTAAACTTTTGCATAATTAGCCTAAGTTCTAGATATAATGGTTTTAATATTAGAAGCAGATATTGGGTTTAATGTTACAGATTTTTTTTTTAATTAGTTTAAGCTAATTCCATATTATTGTTACAACTTAAATGCATGATGTCATAATAACAAATGCCCAGTGCGAAAGCAGGATCTTCTCAGCTGCTCTTAAAGGCAGCCTTAGTATTTGTCATGTGATCTCAACATTTCTACACTCGTGTGACATTCTTCATAAATATTTATTTCTGTAGAGCTGGAGACTTTAATAAGGATCAAATGAGTGAGTTCAGCTTTGAGAATGAAAACCAACCTGTTTGTTCCTCAGTATCTTCATGTTTGACTCTGAATGTTTCTTCACTCTCCTCTTTAATAAAGACCATCTTTGTTTGTGTCTCAGTATCTTCATGTTTGACTCCGAATGCTTCTTCACTCTTCAGGTCTTCACTCTCCTCTTTAATAAACACCATCTTTGTTTGTTCCTCAGCTTCTTCATGTTTGAATATTTCTTCACTCTTCTCTTTAATAAACTCCATCTTTATAACAGTGTGTCACGTGGATCTCAGCTGCTTCTGCAGGAGTTTTTCAGTGTGTTTGGACACTTCGTCCTGTTTAAGATGAGAATAATTAACAAAGAAATTAAATGTAAATATAAATGTAAACTAAATTTCAATCAGCTCCCTACTTAGTCAGCACACTGGTAAGGAAGTCAATCTGAGCTGCGTTTCCCAAAAGCATTGTAAGCTTATGGCGCTTTTCCACTGCGTGGTACGACTCGGCATGGCTCCGTTTGCGTTTCCACTGCAGTTCAGTACCGCTTTAGTGTGGGCGCGATTATTCTCACATGTCGTTATAGTTGCGCCGCCTCGGTACGGTTCACTTGGAACCTCAACCGAGGTGGTACTAAAAAAAGTACCAGGTACCAGGTACTGTACCCAGTGGAAAACCCCCAAAAAGTGAACCGTCCGGAGCCGTACCATGCAGTGGAAAAGCGCTATTAAATACATCGTAGACCCATTGAGACCAATGGAGTTATGATCAATTTAGGCTCACAATACTTTTGGGAAATGCAGCCCAGAATGAGAGTTAATGGACTTAAATTACCTGATTAAAAATATATTTACAAATTACACAGTATTGTTTATGATTTATCTGGTATTCAATTGTTTGTACATTACACTTTGTAGATTACCCTTTCATGAAAACACTTGCAGTTGGGTTTGTAAATGTTCTCATTACACACATTTGTGTTTGTTGTTCTAGTTAATGATGAGAATGAATTGTATTTGTATTGTGCTTTTCTTAAACCCAAAGCGCTACAATAAAACAGAGACACAAAAAGAACAATTCACCAGTAGCAAACAATGGAGCGCGCTCTGCTGGACAAACTAAGTAATTACACCATTTCAAGCATTTTATCTGCATTATATGTTCAGTAAAAGTAAATGTTCATATCGGTACCGATATATCGGCGACAGGCTCATATCGGCCGATAATATCGGCAAAACTATAAATCGGTCGGGCTCTAATAAATAGTTGTTGCATGTACACTGTTTTGAGCAGCAGATGTCGTCAGCGCGCGGCGATTCAAAACACAGGGGTTAAAGCAAAAAAAAAAATCCTGAGCCTGAACTTTTTTCGGGGGGTGCGGGGGCGGACACATATTTATTATACATAGTTATTTGGCAAACAAAAAAAAAAGAAAATTATTTTCCTTGAAAATTACTAGTAACGTATCTGCCATTACCATTAGCCCTTGACAGGTTCAGACTACAGATTATGGAGGGATATTTGAAACGGCAATACCAAGAAAGGTTA